CATAGCACACCCATGTTTCTGCCTGTAGAACTGACCCTTGTATGTGAAGTAGGTGGAATGAAGACACAGTTAAGAGCAAACACACTTGGTGGATGCTGAGAGCGGTCCTGTTGCTGAGGTTGGGGTCATCCTGTAATCTCTTACGAACTACCTCCAACGCTTCCGTGACTGGGATGCAAGTGAAGAGAGATGTAACATCGTACGAGACCATGGTTTCATCTGCCTCCATAATGACATCTCTCACTTCAAGAGAATCAAGAGAAATATTATTGAAGCAGTGTGGGAACATCTTAACTGGAATGAAAGTGTTAGGGTTTAAAATGATAAATTAAGGCTGTTTTTATTATTATTCTTCTATACACATCGCATGTGCTCATTTTACGAGTTGGCGCTACGTGTTTTGAGGGTCAAACGTTTAGCGGTATGACTGGACTGAAACATTGAGAGTTGTTGTAGAAGCGCTGAGGGTCTCTTTTTTGCTGCATGTTTACATCACATCAACATAAGAGTTAGAAGGATACTTGCTGGACCAAAGGGAGTCTGAACAGAATTTCCTCGTGCTCATGCTGCCCCGACATCATGCCAGCGCATAGTGGGAATGTCACAGGCTTTCGGTTTTCTATCGGCCATTTGCTGGGAGTAAGGGCGCCCTCCGTTTGCGAGGTGCGCCTGCTGCTTGCGGCACAGGGAGGAGAGGGCGGGGCGGCAGGGATTCTCTGGCTGGCTGGAGCTCACAAAATAAAAGAAAATAAAAGAAAACCAACAAAGACGAAAACACCAGACATTATGATACAGACTTATAATGTGCACCGATGTTTTTTCGAAATTCTGAGCGCGGGAGCCCTCGGTGCGCCTGCTTGCTGCTGACGTCACTAGCCGTGTCTGGGCCTAAACTCCGCTGCAGGTCCATATATCAAACGATCACTGTGGCATTACTGAGAGTTAAAAACTGTCTAAAGTCTTTCATCTTTAATAAAATGATCAGCGTTCTGCTCTACCAGGTGTAGCAACTGAGTTTAACATCCAGGCATCCATGAAAACGGAATTTATGACATTTAACGGAGTTAGAAGTTAGCAGGGAGTTAGCTCGCTAGCTTCTATCTAAATACAATATAGCATGT